TGAATGGGTGGACATTTGTTTGAAGATATCACTAGAACGGCTGCATGGATCCTGCTGAAATTTGGTATAGATATAGAACATAGCCTGGAAGAACACATATGCTACTAATTAAGTTATTTTTTTAACTGTACGCGGCGATACCTAGTCTATGGATATATCTAAACAGCTGTTGCCCGCGACTCCGTTCGCGCGGAATTAAAAAAAAACATAATTAATAGCCTACGTGTACCTTCAAATTATGTTCTATATATGTATGCCAAATTACATCGAAATCCATTAAGCCATGATATGACATGTTTTCTACGGCTGTTTCCGCAGTGGAAACTGACCGTAACATACCATTAACATGTTACAATGTAAACACAATAAATCTTACGTGTTATGATCTACAACGGTTTGAGACGATAACGTATAGGCGCTCGGCAATATGACATCACAGGACCGTTGGCCCAATATAAATGCTAATTCCAGATAACACAGTAACAGTTTTCGCTATGTAACAAATTTCCAGATTACATCCTGCTCCTTCATTTGCATGTTTTGGTAGAAATGTTCAACTACTTTTGAATGTTAATTCTGTTACGTTAGAATTAATAAAATTAATATCTCTTAACCGCCTTAAAGTACGTAGGATAATTTAAACTAATTTATCTGTATTTTGAATGAAATTATATAATTCTTTTTGGCGAGTTCGTGGATAATGATTATTAGCTATCTAAAGAATAACTAACTTCTTTCTGATATACTGTCACTTTTACTAACATTCATAGTATTACGCGCTGTTGCCTACGACTCCGTCTGCGCGGGAGAAAAATAGATAGCCGATTCTCAAACCTACTGAACCTTTATATATATAATTCTTCTGTGAGTGTGTATGTCACTGAACTTCTCTCAAACGACTGGACCGATTTTGATGAAATTTTTTGTGTGTGTTCAAGGGGATCTGGGAATGGTTTAGATTCACAATTTTCATCAAATCTTAACTTCATATTAATTTATTCAAATTAAAGACGTATAGACAGGACAACGTCTGTCGGGTCCGCTAGTATGCATATAAAATTTCATTAAAATCAGTCAAGCAGTTTTGATGGTGTATGGTAACTAACATTGTGGCACGAAAATTTTATATATAAGACAACTATAACGTTATAGACGTTGTTGAATGTATTATTTGCTGATTGAATGTTGAACTAAGCTTTGACGCGCATGCGCCCGAAGCGTACAAAGTGGGGTAGTGCAAATCAAACATTTACTCTTAAATTAAATAAAATAAAAATTAGATCCAGTATAAAATCTTATTCAAGTTCAATAATTAACAAGGGTTTTGAAAAAATTATGAATAAATAAATCTTAATTGGAATAATTTTAAACACAATAATTTTCATCAAAAGCCATCACAGACATTGTCATAAAACTATTTATTTCAGAGTTTAAAACCTTAAATATGTATTATCTTAAATAATAATTTAAACATAATGGAAGTAAAGCTGCTGCTGAGCTTACATGAAATGAAATGACGTCAATGGCAGACTAACCCCTTGTCCTCTTTGCCTACGGTCACGTGGCCTTTACGCGCTTTGAACTTATATCGACCTACAGATATCGCTTTATATAGATTTCGTTATACAACTTCCGTTTCCCGAGAGCAATCTCGGGTTATAGCATTGAGTTTTAATGGACTAATTACAATCTATTGATACACTTCCTTTGAACTTATAACGATATTTTGATTAGTTTTATACTATAAAATTAATATAACAAGATGTAACTTTTATAGCATCAAGGTATTAAAAAAAATTATTTATAGTGGTCACAAATACTCTTTCGCGTTTTACTTTGACAATACAAAACAATTTAACAACTGCAAAATCGTTGAATGACTGTTTATTATTATATTATAGCTTTTTAAACGCTCTATTAATATATAATAGAGGTGGCTTGAACTAAGAATTAATTCTGTTAGTATTTTTGTATATAGCGTAGCTAAAATTGTATAAGATCAATCAATATGATCTGATCATCGCCGGTTTTTAGTCTTTTTACATCATGATGGATTGGATACGTAATAATAAATTATTGGTATTAATAAGAATGTTTCGACTTTTCGTCTTTATGGCTTTTAGATTAAGTACACATATCCGGTAGGTATTTTTCTATAAATATCACAACACATTTTTTTTCCTAAAAATAAACTATTCACAAATAGACGAATCAATCATGCATAATGAATCTAGTAAAATGGATCAATATTTTGCGATGACAATTTTTTTTAATTTCACGAGAGAATAACAAGGGTTAATTATTATTAATATTAAAATAGGGAATGAATATGGTGACAAGTGATTAAGAATAACATACGTAGTACAATTAACAAAGTGAAATATTTATGAATATGTCAATATAGGGGTTAGGTTTAAAAAAACTGTCAACTTACCTGAATTCGATGGCAAAAAAGCATGGCGTCGCATCTCCCGCCAATTGGAAGCGATCACCGGAATCACAGAAGGCATAGGCTCGGAGAGGCGGCCACGATCGATATAACCGCACATGACACAGGCTCGCGGACGCTGCACGCAGCACGGCGCGTACCTACGCTCCAACACCACATATTATTCTCAAGTTATTATTTTACAAGCAAGTCCGCTCATGAGAAAAGCAACCTGAGACGACCGCAACGTTCGAAACCTTAATACTTCCCTTCGCTTCATATATTAGGTGACAACCGATCGAATACCTTCGCGCGATTTATTAGCACAATTTCCAACTGGTGTGCTCGATTTTACTGTTGCAAAGTGCACATACGTTAAGAAACGTAAGGAAATTAGATTGAAACTTTTTCGAGCTCACGAAACTTTGTAACGCGTCAATCGAGGACCGATATAAAAATAATGTGAACAATGTGGGGATAGGAACAGGAGTCGCGTAATAATAAGAGACCTCGCGTGGGGATGGGCACGGAGGGTGCATTGTGCACCGGCGAATTTCGGAAGGGCCCGTCCCGAAAGCCCTTGTCGATTCCCCTAAACTTGCGCAAGATGTGAACCAGTTTTGATTTCTTTGAAATACCGTTGAATTTAGCATTCACAAAAGGGGAACGGCAAACAACGGCAGTAATGTACCGTTTCGAAATGGTGATGATATAAACAGAGAAAACAACCCAGATGAGTAACTTACAAGTTAAATTTTACTGGATTTTTAATTTTTGCTATATTTTAAAACATTGTACATACATACCTTAAACTGTCTATGTTTTATATTTATATTTTTCACGAAAAAGGCACTTTATTTGCGTCTTTATAACAGTATTCTTCAATTCTGTACTGAAATCGATTATCTAAAGGTCGTTGAACCGAAATACAAGAGACACTTCCTTATTCGTGCGTAACGCAGGATTGAAATTTGACAAGATTAGTAGGTAGTTGCAATAAATAAAAAACAATTAGTCGTTTTAAGCTATTATAGTATTGAGAAAAGTTTCCGCAGACTAGGGATTTAAATTTAAATATCTTTGTTTCTAACTTGTTGTGATTCAAGAAGCTATTTCTGATTTACGATGAGCGCATGATGTTGCAGGATTGTTACCTTTGACACTTATAAAGTAATAATATATATGAAATAATAATAAAACATCTTAATATATTTTACTAAACTACCATTCCCGTTAGTACCATTATCAGTATTGCAAAACATTAGTCGGTGTCCAAACAAAATGTTGCAAAAAAATTTATAGCGTTTCGGAGATGACTTAATTTTTCATATTTATAAATTTTAGATAAATGTCTTTCTCGCGACATCTAAGTACACCCAAAATTAGTACGCCGTTCTCTTCACTTTAGTAGTTATTAACGATTTTTCAAGCACTCAAATAGATTATATTAGCTCATGAGAACAAGTTCTCTTAGTTCAAATCCAATATTTGTATATCAAAAACATACATGTTAAAAACTAAATATTTCAATGCATAGTACTGCCCCTTGGAACAATATCAGTGAGATTATTCAAATGAGTACGTAACTCAAACATTACTTTATCTCGCTCCCTCTCACTAGCGTTCGAATTGGTTCTGTCTCTTTCAACCACATCAGTACTGGTACTAATTGAAATTATATTGACTATGAAATTAATGAATTTATACTTCCATTTACAACCATAATTATCTCCTATCTCAGTTATTTGAAATAGAGTAATTGAAGCCAAAACGATGTTTTTTGCTGACTGTCCATAAATTTGTAAGAACAAGTTCCTTGTGTGATTTAAAATGGATATGTCTCATGTGAGAAACTTGTGTCGTAAATGTATTTTTTTAATAAATATAATAAACTATTTAGTAACGTAAAACATAAATAAATTTCTTAACATATTAAACTTAGCTAAAGATTTTTTTGTACAACCAGTCCTATACAACTTGTATTTCCTACTAATATTATTACTCATAATTTTACTATGATATCTTACGAAATTACCACTAATTACCCTTTATTGATTTATACATAGGCTCAAGTAAATTTTAAGCAATAAAACTCTAAAATATGTTCTTAAAAGCTAACGTGAATGCTCAAATAAATGACCGAAAATGAATAAGACATTTGCTTAGATGACAAAATGTTAACTGCAATAGTTGAATTAGTCAGCATAGTGAATACATTAAAAATTCAGTTCAGTTTTCATGAGCTTTCATAAGCATATCAATTTACTTAAATAGTGTAGTTCGCCATTGATATCAACAGATGGCTCCGTGTGCGCACTGCTATGTCAATTTCTCTTTGGTTAGCCGTTGCGCTACTGTATCGATTTTACGTACACACCCCAGTATTTACATAAGCAAAAATTATACAAGTGAAAATAATTCTTAAAATTATCTTTATATACATAAATACAATGATGTGAATGGCTTACGTTATGGAAAAATCAAATAGCAGTTCAATAGTTTTTATTTGCTGAGAAAAATCGTTCGGAACGGCGTGGAAGCAAAATAAAACCGTAGTCGCGCAGCGCTGGCAACTCACAGATGTCTATGAATTTGACCCCGAAGCTCGTGTCCGGAGCAGAAGGAGAGTGTGGTGTAGGGCTAGGCCCTTAGTTTTTGATCTTCGTCTGTTAATATAGTGTAAAATGGGCACATAAGAGGTAATTTCTTTTTATTTAACATAAGTGTTTTAAAATTATTGTATTTTTGTGTTCGTCGCGGTGAATGCTTGAATTAAAAATATCGCGAACAGACTACGAGCGACTTCATCTAAGAATATCGTCAAATGTCGCGCACTGATTATCTTAAACTAACATAATTTAATAGCAGTGTTATTTTTAAATTATTAATGTGACATCTATGATTATGAAATCGGAATTATATTTTTTGGAATGGTAATTATAACGTGAATGGAAGGATTTAGTCGAGGTTTCATAAAATGTGAGACAATGGTGTATCGATTATTTTGCGCTAACGAAATGTCATCCCGGTGCCGTAGTGTTAATATTAGAAGTCTATGTTGGTGATCGCGTTTGCTATTGTCTAGGCATCTACGTGTTATAAATTGAGCTTGCTTACATCGAAATTAGGATCTGTGACCGAAATACAATAAATTAATATTTTCTGTCTCTTAAGGTGTAGTAGCTCTTGATGTAAAATGTAACACAAATGTAGAAAAGTTAAACTATTATTTAATTTAAACTTCTTTTTTCGTACTAAATACTTTTTCAAGTTTTTTTTTTTGTAAAATATGTTCACAGTAATTGTCGGGATATGTTATCGGTACTTTTGGAATTAGTAACAAAAATTACACATTAAGTAACACACTTGGCAAATAATTAAATTAGAGATATTTAGCATTTTCATTTAGCGTATCCGTATCTGAAATCTTAACCTTAAACTAGTCGTATTAAAAAAAATTGTTCTTTTTTCATTTATTTATGTTTAAACCTACATATTTTGAGTACTTTCATATAAGCTTCAAAGCTTTGAAACTAAAATAAGGTAGGCAGAGATTGATATTTTTAAATAAAGAAAACATAATTATTGGATATTTTGCAATGCGTATTTTTAGCACAACATAGGACAATATATTAGTTAATATTACTCTTTAAAAAAATCATGTTAGGCTATCTCAACAATTAATTAACAAATAATTGCTTAATATAAATTTAATATTCGGCTAATAAATAATATTTAGTATGTTTGGTTAAAATTAAATTATTGGAGCTAAATAAAAATCATTTGGCTCTAAATGGAATTACTTTCTCGGCACATTTTATAGATATACGTACCGACTACTGTAATAATAACAATTGACTATCATACATATATTTTCCTTGTATTATCATTAGTTTAAGTACAAAAAGTATGCGGGAAACGATAAGGAAAATGTATTCCACATGCAAGTCAAGTTATATTTATTTCGCATATTTCCACAAAAAATTAATAGAAAAATGGAAAATACGAGAATACCATAATTTCCACTCTCATAGCCGGCTTTTTTCATATAGTATTTCCACTCTCATCGCTAGTTTTTTTGAATGATTTTTTTTAAATGATACCGTAAGATACTAACCCGTATATTAAGCAACTACACACAGTTAAATCGTACACATTCTTAAATCGTACTATCATGCGATGTCGTCCGCACGGATTAAAAAAAGCATACTAAAAGTATCCTAATAAGTGTTCTTCTAGACAATGTTTCACAAGTGTACCAAATGACATTAAGATCCACTAAGCCCTAGGCAGATATCTTGTAACAATCATCCATCCACCTATCCAAATTTATAATAGCGCTAGATTTCGTTCGCGCAGGATTAAAAAAACTCAATTAGTAGCCTATATTCCAAATTTCAGCGAGACTCATGATGCCGTTCTGAATATATCTTCTAACAAACATTCATACATCCAAACATCCGCATTAATAATATATGTAAGGATTGTATCGAGTAGAACCAAAAACGAAAGCATAAGTTTTTTGTCATTCCTAACTTTTTTTGTTCATACGTAACACATATAAAGAAGGCGTATCTATTAGTAATAATCGTTTTCAAATGTTTATAACTATTATATTATTGTTTCAGAGTGTTACAAACATACGTTCGAGTTCAAAGTCAAAGCGCCGTAAGTTAAAATTGTTGAAAAGTGAAATATTAGCATAGAGAAAAATGGCTAATCCGAATCGCGAAAGTGTTAGCACCCGTTTCTCGGACAATTACGACCTTAAAGAGGAACTAGGGAAAGGAGCCTTTTCAATAGTGAGACGTGCTGTTCAAAAATCTACTGGCTATGAATTTGCAGCGAAGATTATCAATACTAAAAAACTCTCAGCTAGAGATTTTCAGAAACTGGAACGAGAGGCTAGAATTTGTCGAAAATTGCAGCATCCTAATATTGTTAGACTTCATGACTCCATCCAAGAGGAGCATTTTCACTATCTCGTCTTTGATTTAGTAACTGGTGGAGAATTATTTGAAGATATTGTAGCGCGAGAGTTTTACTCTGAAGCTGATGCTTCTCATTGCATTCAGCAGATTTTGGAGTCAGTGCATCACTGCCACCACAACGGCGTGGTCCACAGGGATTTGAAACCCGAAAATTTATTGCTTGCAAGCAAGGCTAAAGGAGCAGCTGTAAAACTTGCTGATTTCGGTTTAGCAATTGAAGTACAAGGTGACCAACAAGCATGGTTTGGTTTTGCCGGAACTCCTGGTTATTTATCTCCAGAAGTGCTAAAGAAGGAACCTTACGGGAAACCTGTAGATATCTGGGCTTGTGGTGTTATTCTGTATATTTTGCTTGTTGGCTATCCCCCATTTTGGGATGAGGATCAACACCGATTATATGGGCAGATTAAAGCGGGAGCTTATGATTACCCCTCCCCCGAATGGGACACCGTAACACCTGAGGCGAAAAGCCTTATAAATCAGATGTTAACTGTAAACCCAAGTAAGAGAATCACAGCTTCCGAAGCTCTTAAGCATCCGTGGATCTGCCACCGCGAACGCGTTGCTTCAGTTATGCACAGGCAAGAAACTGTGGACTGCTTGAAGAAGTTCAATGCTCGCCGCAAACTGAAAGGAGCGATTTTAACCACCATGCTTGCGACACGCAACTTCTCTGGAAAATCAATGGTAAACAAGAAGGGAGATGGATCTCAAGTCAAAGAATCGACTGACAGCAGTACTACTTTGGAGGATGAGGATTTAGACAAAGATAAGAAGGGAGTAGACAGAGCGTGTACAGTCATTTCAAAAGACCACGAAGAAGAAGCGCTTACAAAAGCTGATTCATTTGGAAAAGCCCGTGGCGACAGTAATGCTTCTCTTCGCCGTGCCGAAGTGATTAAGGTCACTGAAGTCCTTATAGATGCTGTAAACAACGGAGACTACGATACATATTCAAAACTTTGTGATCCTAATGTGACTGCATTTGATCCTGATGCACTGGGCAATTTGGTGGAGGGTGTAGAATTCCATAAATTCTTTATCGATAATACTCCAGCACACGTTAAGACCAATACTACAATCCTAAACCCCAGGGTGCACTTGCTCGGTGATGACGTAGCGGTGATTGCGTACGTGTGTTTAACGCAGAGCGTCGATGCAGAAGGGCGACGTGAAACTCACCAATCGCAGGAAACTCGCATATGGCACAAACGCCACAACAAGTGGATAGCTGTCCACTTCCATCGCTCCTAACTAGTCCCCTCCCATGTCAAGTTGCCACAAATTCAAAGTTCTAAAAAGCAAGCCCTGTGTAATGGTGTGGCTATCAAAACGATTGTCACCTTTCATGGTGATGAATGAGTGCGCACATCACACTCCTATGGCAACAGTACAAGATTATATTTGAAACTTAATATTCAATTCCGCTATGAAAATTACACGAATTTTATTAGAATTCTTTTGTAATCTCAAGGAATTAAGTTAATATTTAGATAAATATTTATGTCAATGTAAACAATTCAAAAGCTATATCTAATAATGTAATAGTTATCGAACTAAAAAGGCAGTAATGTGGCTAAAATGTGATACCGTTGAATTGTTCAGTGCTTGATGCTAGTTGATAGCTCGTAGAATGTAAAATAACTCTGATCTCCGCCACAATCGAATAATACCATCGAAAATCTCATTATAATTGACATCAAAGAAATCTCAGGAAATAAACAGATCTGATAAAAGTGAATCTATGTCATAGGTGAATATGTGAAATGCAGAAATTTTAAACATTTCGAGTTTTTAGCACATTTCTCAATAAGTCTCTCTACATTTTTAACTATGAATGTTTTGTCGTGCTTAAAAAGGTGTTCTATTTGTTATTGAATACCTAGATAATAAGACTTAAGAATTATTGCTGCAGTTATTGGCACTACATGTTGCAATACTAAGACAAATTTAGTAGTGTATTAAAATATTTTAAAACTATAGAATATATTAGTTCTCAATAACTATCTAGTTTTAGCTAGTGCGGATTTGTTATAATGTTTTAAGTGAATTATATCAATTTTGTCAATTTTTAGATTTAAATCCTGTTATTTCAGCTTGAATAAATACAGGTCCTATATATGATAGTAATAAACACCTCATATCTTTATAATATCATTGATTTTGCAATAATATTTACTTAAGAATAACATTTGTGTGGCAGTTTGTACTTATATATTTTATTGTGATGAAGCTATGTGTCCTAATTACATGAATTTAATGTAAAATGCATTAATTTTGCTGATTTGCTTATAGAAAAGCTATAAGCCAATATCCTTACTGATAAATTATTGTTTATTAGAATTGTAATTAGATATAAAAAGAAATTTATTGTTTTTTTACAAGTTTTATAAAAAAAATACTTTAGTATAGTTAGCAAAACTTAATTTTAGTAAACCTGAAATGTTGTAAATTGTGACCAAATGTTACACACAAGTGGTCATAGTGAATTATAATATGCAGTATAAACCAGAGTACATATTTGTGCCATTAACTTTTGAAATTAGTGCCAATAACTGTAAAAAAAAAACTAAAATTTATTCTAGTCTTTATTGTTACGCATACATATATCTAGTATTAATCAATGTTTTAAAAAATTAATTTTTATTATACATGCATTCTGTATGTACATAGATATATTAATTTGCACATTATTTGTTTGAGTGTTTTCAATTTTGGTTTTGCTTTTAAAAATAATTTATATTTATTTTACTAATGTTATAACAAGCCGTAATCATACTTTCTATGTATTTTAAAACTAGATTTAATTATTACTTGATAGCATCATTTTATGAACACCGGATATAATGCTTCGTGTCCATTATTGGTAAAATATTACATCTTAAAGCCAGCATAGTACTTTTATATTAGTACTTTTGGAAAGTATTAACAATATTATCAAACAACCAACTTATCACAACTTTATAGTACATATTTGCGTTAACTAATGATGGTAATTATCAGACAATTATATGATTAATAATTAAGGTTAAAAATGTTTACAGAGTTTTAAGTATGATTTTTTGTTGTTATAGGTTGTTAACAATCAGTATTTTATTTGTTATTTCAGATTAATATATGTAAAGATTTTATCAACTACCCTAAATGTTCTTTAATATTTGTGTCGGAAATATTTTTAGAAATATAAACTCTTCAATTCAAATAAAATATTGTATTAGATGCACAAATATTATAAGTTTCTTTTTAATATTTGACAATGATTTTATAATTATTTTCATAAAAATTATGTATTTTGTCTTCCCGCATTGATGTTTCAAATGTACACAATGATTTAAGGGATTTATTACGTACCAATTTCGAGTATCTAAATTTTACAATTTTTGAAATTTTAGAATGCAGCTCTCCTCATATATTATAGCACATTTTCCTGTTTGCATGCACTTTACCTCGCTGGCTTTTAAATTTAGGGGAGCTTTTTTTAAAAATAACATTTAAATGTTTGTCTATTGGCTGAATTTTATTAATAAATACAATAATTGTTCCATACCAAAATAAGTTTTTATTAAAAAAATATATGCTGAATCCGATATCCTCCAAAAAATAAGACATATTTGAACAGAGTTGCCATTGAAATTTGAATAGAATACAATTCATTACTGCTGATTTTATTAAGATATTATTATATGATAAAAATTCACTTATACTTCAATTTCTAGTATTTTCTAATAAGAAAACCCAAAACAAAATTAATGTTGAAGGGTCAATAGTCAACCAATAAGAAAATTTTTCAAAAACTTATCATATACCACCAGATGATGTACTTTTTAAATTAGATACAGCCAGTTACCTAAATGGACGAAAATAAAGGATTATTTATGGCAGCGGTCTAGAAAATCCGATTGGCAACAAGTAAAATGTGTACTTACTTAAGTTCCTTCAATAAATCATTGAAAGACACTTTTGAATATATAAAATGCACTTTATTAAACTGTGCTTCAAATGTTTCAGTATATTTAGAAAAATACTTATATAGTTAGGGTGCAGTGCAATATGGTATTCAGATATTTAATGAATTATAAAGGTACGGGTGCATCAGCCCATGGCGGACGCAACACACGCATGGCCCTTAACAGATTTATTTTGTACTATGGACGCAGAGTACTTAAAATCTTAAGTACTCTGCGTCCATCATTCCAACGCATCACATCAAAACAAAGCAAATCTGTTTTGTCCATACATGCTGTGCGTCCGACGCGGGCCAGTGAATATGTACCCTTAAGATCTGTTTCTATTATTTATGTCATAGAAATATTTTCAATTTAAATATAATAAAAACTCAGCTAGGATTTGTCTTGTGTGAATTTTGAAGCATAATATGTGTTATGCTGTGTGATTTTTTTTTCAATTGAACTAAAATATTGGATGTACTTAAAATAAGATGAATTATTTAATGAAAATGTATTACTAATTTTCATTTTTTCGTAAGTAATTATTATCTAGAATATGTCATACTTTACTGCACCTCATTAAATATAAATTTTCTCTTATAATGAAAGCTATTTATAGCAAAATTTTTAAATGTGAAGATATAGGTGTATTAAAGATTTATCAATATATTTGTCTGCAATATAATTTCTCAAACCTCTGCATTGCCGATTATCATGTAACTCTAAAATAAAGTTCTTTTGATCTTATTCTTATTATTGTTGTTTATTTATCTCTCACATATAGAGTTAACAGGAAACAACTAATGTCTATTCCAAATAATCAAAAGCAAATTTTCAATTTTTCAAGGTTGGTATAATTGATAAATTATCCTTACTTTTTTTTCTAAAAAAACATTATGATTATGTACTTGTCAACCACTACCTATACTACCAGCAAAATGCTAGTAAATTAAATGACAAAGTTCCTTCTTCTATTATTGTTTTTGTAGGTGAACTGTAATTATGTTTTTGACAAAGTTGTAAAATGTTATGGATAAATAATAAGCACCAACTTTGTAAAAATAAATTCTATTTACACTCTCAATAACTCTTTACTACAATCAATAAAAAACAAATAAATATATAGTCAATTACATTAAATTACATCTTTTATATTACAATATTAAACAAATATACAATATTATTTAAAACTAAATTCTACTTACTAAATTAAGCATCGATTTTACTATATTAAAAAACACATACCTATATGTCAAAATAAATTCAATGATTTAATCTTTGTATGTACACCTTTACATCCATCTTGTGAGACATTAAAATTTTTCATAATCATGTTAATATCTACATTTTTAACCAGTCTTTGCTCTAATTCATCTTTGATACATTGCTTTAAAATATCTTCACTTAATGGCAAATATTTAATAAAATATTTTGTAGCACTAACACTATTAAAATCTTGTTGTAAATTTATCAAAAAGGAATCATTTGATGTGTCACAGTTGTAAACCAACATTATTGTAACATTGCTTTTTAAATTCTCAGTTTTTTCAATAATATCATTCACAATAGATGTTATATGCTTGTCTCCAGCATTCAAATCATCTACAATAATAATCCATTTCTCACAAAAAACTAAGCCTATCTTTATCTCGGTTGTAAACTTGTCTACAAAACTTGGCATAGTGTAGTGATATACATTTGAAAAATTTAATAATTTATTAAGTACTATTGATATTGATAATGTTTTTCCAACACCAGTCCCTCCATATAAAATTAAGATCTTGCTGCTAGTATTATCATCTAATGCCTGGATAAAAGTTTGTATAGCATTCGACTGACCGTGAACTTTGGAAGACAACGCATCCTTTAACAATTTCGTGTTAATCTCACGACAACATTCAAATTTAATCACATTATAGTATAAAATTGACGTGATTACACTTCCAATGATAAAAGCTAGTAAATATAGATTAGATTTGAATAATATCCTTTTTTCTTTTTGAGCAGGCATATCTATATGGAATTTTTTTATTCCTTGAGTATCTGGTGTCGTACTAGCAGTTTCAGTCTTTTCTTCTTCTTCTTTTATTTCATTATAAGATATATCCATAGCGGCGTAGGAATTTGCACTTGAATCAATATCCATAGGTTCGTAGTCTAAATTATTCATTATGTACAAATATAAGCAACGAATCAAATAAAAATTCACTGTATTACTTTCTGAAGTTTAAAAAAATTGTTTTGCAACGAATCGTCTTGTTTTGACATATTTTGACAAATCATCAATTGTGCCAACTTATAAAAATCATACTTCAACTTTGGACAAAAATTCAACAGCGGACAGAACTAGATATATATCAGGACACAAAACTTTGTCTCCCATTTAAATACCGAAAAAAAGATTTTTATTTTGTATATGTGTTAAAATCTATCAGAAATATAATTTTCGTAATTTTCGGTTGCATTTTGAAGTAACAGTGCCAAATCTAAAAATAATGGTAACTTTTTAAATAACTACCAAAATCAATTTGTAAGCTGTGGGAAGTTGTGAGTAAAAATTGTGATAAATTGATTATTGGTTTGTGGATGGTTAGGACGACGTTATTTTCGAAATGAATACGAAGAATGATGGCTCGAATCAGGATTGTAAATTTACCCCACCAACTAAACCTAAAAAAGTGAGAAATCCGTTTGATAAAGCCCTAATAGAGAGGTTACACAAACCGATTTGTAGGTGAGTATTGATATATTTCATAATTCTTATCTTCACTAACAGTATTCATTGTTAAAATTCACGTTTTTCAGTCCTGGTATGTGTAAGATTTACAAAAAGAAAAATACTGGGTGCTTTAAATGGGACATAGACCAAGCATCTACTTTAGTACCTGCTGATATAGTTGCATGTAGTAGTCAATTTGAACCATCACCCGATCCTATGTTAGAAAAGATTGCTGAAGAAGCATCAGACAGGTATGAAATTCTATATATTATTATAATGAAAACATTTCATCTTTAGAAATTCTACTCATGTCATCGTCTATTTGTCCCATAGTAATGCCATGGCAACTTTATAACTGGCTATTATCACCATTATAAAACCCAGAGGTTGAATAAAGTTGAAAGAGGGGAGGATAAGTTGGTTAGATTAATGATCACCTCAGGATTTGACAATAACTAAGTGCTAAAAATATTTATCACTAAAAACGCATTTTAAAATAAATCCACGGAGTGCAATCTGCAATATATTTCCAGCTTATTGAGGTTCTTTCTAACCTGTTCTTTTCACTTTTTGAGGTTGTTCCTTCAAACTGGATAATGACTCATGCTTATACAGATTTCTCACTTATCCAGATTCAACTGTATATCTTTTTCCCCTACCTAATCACACAACCTGTTTATCTACAACCTGTATATAAAATACTGTACTACATATAGAAAAACAAGGTGTGACAATAAAATCAGTGAATATAAAATGTTTTAGATTTTTTTCACAAGAATTGGTGGTCCCTAGTCCACTAGAGACATCAAAAAAAGTCAAGCCACTATTGAAAAAAACACCTAACACAAGTGTTCTAGGAAATAGTTTAACTGCATATGTGACTAAAAAAGATGGTAAGTCTCATCAAAATTATATTTAAATTTAATATTTTTTTACACAATTAAGTATTTATGGTGCAATTACTTTAGTTTCAGTACAAACAGTTCTGAGTTTTCCGAAAAATCTACCTCATGAAGTCGAAGAAATTTTGCAAAATTTTTGTACATTTACACAGGTGATAAATGTTAACATATTTGAATGATTTTTGTTCTGTATAATATCATCCGCTCACTATGAGTCCCCACTGAGGGACTCAGTGCCTACTCTAAGTTATGGATTACTGGGCCATATTCAATGACGCTGACTTAGTGCCAGTTGGTTTTCCCGCATGTGAAGGTTGTATAACAATGTTTTCCATCTCTGTAAGAAATTGATAAAACACAATGGTACATGGCTGAATTTGAACCCAGGACCTGCATATTACAAATCAAGAGCTTCAACCCTTGAGCCACTGACACTCTATGTATATTATAATTATTATTTCAGGACCAGAATGTATCTGGTGATTATGTTATTACTGCAAATGATTCATTTCGAAGACAGTTGTTCTTTGAAGAGCATAGTGATACAGAACATTATGATTCAGAGGTGACTGACGATGAAGTACATCAAGAGACTCGTCCACCATCCAGCTTTGAAACTCATTCACCAATTGTTATCAGTCCTGATTTGGTAAAATAATTTATAAATATTTACTACATTTTGCCAGCACACAGATTGTGTTCTACATCTATGTCAAATTTTAGCAAGATCCATTAAGCCACTCCTTAAATATTTTCTAAAAAATATCCACTCATCCATCTAAATTTTCTCATTTATAATGTTAGTATTATATTGTAATATTTCCTTAGATGAAAATAATAAATAAAAACTTCTTTGTAAGCAAGTCAATAATAATCTATGATCAGCTATAAGCTACTAATATATATAATAGCTATAAACTTCATGTTTTAGAGCCACGATTTAGTGACAAAAGGCTTAAAACGGACATTTGGGACACCATTAAGCAAAAGTAATGTAAGGACCAATAAGGCTTGTTTTCGCAACAAGGCGTTAGATGTTGTTGACTTTGGAGAGCCATGCTTCAGTCCGATAGAATTCAGAACACCAAAACGAATGGATCAGGGATCAGCTACGTCATCTTCTCTTGCTTCAGCCTCCATTTCACCAGTAACTAAACCATCTAGTGATGAAGAGGTGAGACAAAAACTTAATTAGTAGTCTATGTGTTATTGGGGCTTAATTCTACATCTATGACAAATTTCAGCGAGATATATGCAGTTATTCCGGGGATAATTTCAAACAAACAAACATTCACAATTATAATATTAGTAAGATCTAATGATTCTTGCAATAAGTCAAGTGACACTTGCAGAATATTGATTTAAATATCGTAAGCTTTTGAAGATCCATTTCTGTATGAATGATTTTTTATCTGTTTCTTAAAACTGAAAGAAATTAGGTTACCACTTATTAGACTTGGCACCAAATAGTAGGGGCGTTTGCGTCGAATCTACGCAAAGGTAATAATTGACCAAGTATTAAAAACGAATTTTGGATACGCCACTCCATTACCCCACACGTGTTTTAGATGATATTTTTTTATAATATTTTATTACTTACGTCATTATTTACTTCCAGAAAAATGCATTCACGTCGCCTGAATCTGACACAATGGCAACTTGCCTGGACTGCATTATACCAGAACCAGAAAGACAAAAGCAGTATCCGTGTTTCTGTAAAATATCAACAAATAAATTGAGTTTGAAACGAAGTGCTTCCTTAAAAGACTCACCAACTAAAGCGAGAAGGGGCTCCAATTTATCAATGGAGAAACGCAGTCTCAGTATGTCGAGTTTGAATCGTAGTCGTTCTGTGCAGAAGCTTGATTTTAGTATGGACATGAGTATTGATGGATCAATTCATAATTGTTCACAAGGTATGGCAATATTTTTTCTTTAATTTTTTTTTTTTGCTACTAAAAAATAAACCTTACAAGAAGCTTTTGTTACTTTCAAAATGCCAATAAAACTTATAAAGTTAATTATCAAATATTACTGTAAATGTGTGTTTATTATCCGAAATAGAGAAACTTTATGAAAATCAAGACTTGTAAAATTTGAGATTTATATAACTTCAAAAGCATCTAAATCAAATATACTATGTGCATGTGTAATTTTCTCAACAAAACGGTTTTGTGATAAAAACGAAAAAATAATTTTCAGAAGAATCGGAGAGTGGACAAACTCAATGTGCCCAAGAAGCTTGGTCAATAGTTGAAGATTCGAGTATTAAAAATCTAGTTAAATTAGAACTATTCAAGGAACAATCATGTGATATACAATCTTCCACTAAACTAGATAGTGCTAAATTACATATACTAGAAGAAACACCTATAAAAGGCAAAAGTAAACATAGTGTTCTATCGCATGAAATTAGTAAAATTCGTAGCTGTGTTACAACAAGCCCTTCACACATGTCTTTAGATAATAGCTTAGATTGTTCAGACAATTCACTTAGTCTAGAAGATAAAAAAATTGACTTTAACAATGTCGATCTTAAGTTTTTGACTGATTTACCTCAGTTTACTTATAATACTCAAAATACTAATGTTGGTGAAAGTTCTTGTAGTTTTAAAAGAATTGATAGTGGTTTTAATGAAAATACATTCTATGCGAATGCTTCTAGTTATTATGAAAGTGCCATAAAACCATCGGAATTAACTGTCACTGAAACATCAAAGAATATAAATAATTCCGCTTTGAAAGAAATATCCAATGTAACATGGATGAGAGTTGACAGCGGTTTCAAAGATGAAACATCAACAGATAGTACACAATTTTATAATTCCACTGATAATTCTAATTTAAAATTTACCGGATTCCGTTTCACCGAAGCTAAGTTAGATGATAAAGAGAATGTTGACAATTTTGTACATGTTATTAACAAAAATGCTCTGTCTATGTCAGATATTTTTACAGAAGATATGAAATTAAATTGCAACTCCTCATCAACTCCATCGAAGAATAAATCAAGGAGAGTTAATTCCTAGATAGTTTGATTTTTTTATTTGTTTAATTTTTAAGTAATTAATGTAGTTAAAGCAATTAATACTCATGTTAAGGTCTTTACAGATAAAATTTCGACATTTAAAAATTATAATTACGTCACAATAAAATTCTCTTAAATTGACGAAATTGACGTAAGTCATTCATGTAAGTCATTACTCATTTTTTTTTATTTCGTTTTTTTTTTGGTAACAATATTTAATTTATTTTTCCATTGTCATTGTAACAAGTTAATTTTTTTTTTTGATAAAGTACACTGAAAACTACCATAGACTTATAAAGAAATAGAAGTAACCGGATCTATTTATATAAAGACATCATAGTAAAGACCTAATTTAGTATTTAATTTTTTGTCTATGACGCATGAATTTTTTTTAATTCTTTTTATTATTTTAAAGACTCTTCCCTGTCTTATATACTTAGGCAAATGACCATTTTATAGGCATTAATAATTTTTAGATAAATATTTTTGACTGGTTCATTATTGTGAACTATTTTAAAAACTCCTGTTTATAAGCTACGTCTATTATAAACTATGCATTTTTTATCTTTGAGGCGAATAAAATTTTTATAAAGATTAAGACTGAATTATGTTAAACTGCATTTAATAGAATAAAACTTCGAGAATTTGACTTCTTATATGATTTTGAAATTTTAATTAAAAATAAATTAAGTATTCTTAAAATGTGTCGATTTTGTATTGACGGGCATTCTTTAAGCATAATTTTACTCAATGTATTTTACTTTCGTAATAAAGTTAAAGTAACATTAAAAAGTTTTTTTTTTCAATAAAATCTAAAGCCATCTTTATCAATTTGTCATGAATGCTGCAATTTATTTTAATTTTAATAAGGGAGAGTTTTGTTCGATTCATACGTACGACCTCCATAAACGAGAAAATCGGTATACAGAGAAATCTCTATAAGCAAGTAAAATATCCCTGTCCTTTGAACTTTCGCTCATTCAAGTTCGACTATAAATAATGTCTATCGCGCATCATAAAAACTTTAAATATTTTTGTCACTGACGTAAATTAAATATTTTTATTTATATAAAAAGACGTAAATATTTACAAATCAACAAGACGCGTATTTCAATCGGGCATAACTATCTTGGTTAATTTATTGTTTAGTCAATTAGCGAAATGAGCTGTTAAATGCAAGTGTATCTTGTAGCTCGGGTACTTGTGTACTCGTCGACTAGACTGTTCGTGCGTCAATCAGTTTTTAATAAACATCCAAATGATAACGTCCTAACCTCTCTTATCTACGCATCCCGGAACGTCTGCGAACCAAAAGCAATGCGGATCTATTGAATAATCTATATATTTATATAAATATACTTCTCGTTTTGTCTGTTTGTAAATATTGAGATTATATTGGTCCTTGTTGAAAAAAATTTTTGAGGGTACAATTTTTGGAACACAAAATACAAAAAAAAAAGAATTGATTGACTTCAGATACAAATCCAATAAAAGCATGGAATTAAACCAGGTGCTCGCTATTTTTGATTTCATGATAATTCAAAAAATGTATTCTGTATGTATGTTTTATACATACATATATATTTTTATATGTGTACGTGTATATATTTCCTCATATATAAAACAACAAGTACCGACATTTATCAGTACACTGCCATTCGATCTGTTAGCAACCAGCTGTGTCATAGTACGTTGATCGTATTTCATTAGTTCATTTCATAGAATTCCTCGATAATATAGTGACGTATTTGAGTTGCGGATTCATCGGTCTCAAAGTTCCTTTACCACCGCATCAAGTGAGACGTTTAAGAAAAAAAGAAAAAAGTGATTTAGTGACCATGTATAATAGAACAAGTGCAACTTTAATGCTGCAAACAATTATGGTATTAATGGATAAACAGAATTCAACAGACGTGACGCTTTTCCCTACAAATTTTTTCGGTTAGTTTTTTTACTATCAACATTATTATTTCTACAACTTGTAAATAATACAGTGTTTACTATATATCAATCGTATAGTATGTAAACAATTTATATAAATCAATGATGACGGTAAGTACATTTATTTTTTTAAAAGCGCTTTTTTGGAAACTTATTTAAATGTTGTGTTGTTACTACTGAGTTATTTAGTATTACCTTTCAGTAGGTTTTTTTTAACCAGCCAGCATTTTACTGTGAATAATTATTTTTATTAACAGTTATTTCTTTCCTAAGAGGATGCTGAGGTGGAAAGGTGTTATGGCGTCTACGGATGCTTCTCAAAGGCTTATCCATGGACAGAAAACCGGCCTGATAATTACTTTCCAGCTCCACCAGACTCATTGGGTGTTAGGTAAGTTCAAAGACAACATTTTTTTTGTTGGATAATTTAAATATGTCTGTATTAAAAAACTCTAGACCGTAAGCCGGAAATCCTGGCAGAGATTAGTTAGTTTGTCCACAACTTATATTAATTCTTATAATATCTTATTATTCAATTATTATTATTTTATTGTAATAGGCTAAAAAAATCATTTAGCGCTATATACTATGACCATAACGCTAATTGGGTTACGTGATTTTACCAATAGGAAGAAAAACAGTAAACTTAAGTAGGTGGCGCCAGCGCCAAGAGTCTGTTGCCATCTGTCAAAGTTTTTATACGTCATTCTCGTGTTTTTTTTTAAATTAATGGCGAAGTTGTAATGCATCTACAGACACCACTCACATACTATAGAAAATATATTTTTTATTTCATTTATTCATTTTGTACAAACATATGTCTATACGTATTATTAAAATAATCAAAAACTATGCATAACAATCATAATTTATTCATTATATCTTAGTTGCTATTAATAAAGCGCTTTATCTTAAGATTATTTACTCCTATTCCCTAGTTTTGGTTATAAATTTTATAGCTCTTGGTGTAATTTAAATAGGTCCGTAACTTATACCCCGCTTGCAAAGTCAATATCGCTCACGAGGGCCATCAAACTTCTCAACTTGAATACTCTAAGCGGTGTTACTATGCGGGTTAGTGGTTAACCGGCGAGAGATAGTATAAAGTTTATGGCTTCACGAATGTAACCGACTAATAAATTTGTGTTGAATTTCTGCGTAAACATAATCGCGTTATTGAAATTTGTTTACGTTCTTTTCTTCATTAAATAAAAAAAATACACAGACTAAATATAAAAGAGAAATTGCTAAAAGCATCAGTAGCTTAATGGTAACGGTACAGACTTCCGATCATGTGGTCATAGATTTGAATCCTACTATTTAGCTATATAGTAAACTATATCCTTAGTTGATTAAATAAAAATGAATGAATTGTATTAGTTACAATACATTGTCTTGTATCTATACAATTATTATAAATATTTGATCGTTTGTTTGTTTGTCTTGTATGGACTCCGTGACTACTGAATTTCAAACAGTGATAAGTTTTTTCACTGTTTGAAATCTACACTATCCCCATGTGAAGAAGTCACGGACAACTGCTAGTGTTTTAATTACGTATAGAACCGTAAGAAAAAAACCCACTTTAAATAAAAATGACATACTTTGATTGCTACATATTGATTCTGTTAAATAGCACATATTATCAAAAGTGGGTGTGGTGCAACAAACAAATGCATCATTGTTTGCCAATATTTAATATGATAAACGTATCATAATGTTTTCTTACTACGATTTAACGAGGCTCAAAGTTTAATTAGCAAGATCCGCTTCTTGTTTATATCGTATAATTTATATGTCACACAGTTATCAGGGTAAATTCCAACTGTTATATTATTTACATTTGTCACTAAAAGATTATGAGATTTTTTGTGTTAGTGAAAAAAAGTTTTTTAAACTCGATAATTACCTATATGTCACAAATAATATGTCTTAATGACGTCATATATATTTGTACGTATGTATCATCCGAAAAGTCCACTTCCCATTCTTTCCTTATGAGAAAAAGGGAAGGAAGGGAAAGAGGCCTAAATAAAGCCTCCGGGACGCACACTCATCGGACGAAACGCGGAATTGCTTCCACTTCACGCCTGTCTTCTGTGTGGTCGTGGTATTTCACCGGGCGAGCCGGGACATTTCGTGCGAAGATGTTAAAGCGGGCTCTACCACTGTTGTAACTACCACTGTTGTTGTTGTTTGTATAAAAGTAAACAATGTTACACGTTAGTTGTTTCTAGAATATATAAATCAAATTACTTTGTACATACCATTTAACGATATATCATAGTAAATGTCATATAATTAAGGTCTAATAGATAATAGCGGGGGCTCGTCCGTGACATCGGTCCATTGTTGGCCAAGACAAAACATATTTACGATAGGCTGCATGGTGACGTATTTATCAATATTTAGATAAACAAGTTATTTTTGTTGCAATATATTCCTTTAATTAACAACGCGGCAAAGGGTCTGTTGACCTTTGGCCAAGTGGGCCGGCCCGATGCGTGGGTAGACTGATAATGACATTTCGTAAGTTCAGTATCATGAAAAAAAATTAGGAACGCAATACAGCAAAAATTATGTTATAAAAATATTTATTTTATCTCGATTATTCGGTACGAAGTTGGGAAACTTAGCTAGTAATAAAAAATATTATTCTTGATAGTTAAGTGATTTTTTTTGTTCAATCCACAATTTTTTTTTTCAGATATGCAGTATTTACTAGACGGAATAGAAAGATACCATTACTATTACAAGCGCATGATAACGAGAAAATTCAAAATGCGAACATTGATCCTAGAGGGCCGTTTTATTTGATCTCCCATGGATTCATTGATGGTGGACATAAAATATGGGTACGTTCAATTAGGACTAACTCTCCCACTCACTCAGACTCAGCCCGCGCAGAATTTGAAAAAAATAGTAGCCTATGTGTTTTTCCCATCTATTTTCTACATCCATGCCAAGACGTACGTAACGTTTCTAACAAATATCAATCGAAACATTCGCAGTTATAATATTATTATAGTAAGATAACACAAAAATAAGGCGTATTCATTTTGACGAAATAGAATGACGTCATATACACCATTAACAAAATAAGCGAATCGAACTTTGCTGGACATATTAAAGTCTTAAAAAATAACTACAGAAAATGCTACTAATTGCCCCATTCATAATGATCAAACTATATATATACTAAGGAAGACGAATCTGATTGTAAATCCTTTGAACATCTTTCCACAGGTACAAAATATGGCAAATGCTCTCTTGAACTTAGAAGGCAATGAAGCTGCCACAGTTATGATCGTGGATTGGCGGAAAGGATCCCAGCCTCCGTACGGACAGGCCGTCGCTAACATACGATTGGTTGGAGCTATGACCGCACATCTTGTCCATACTTTATATGTAAGTATAGTACGTAGTATATCATCATTAATCTGTCCTTATCCTATTTAGGCATCACGTTTTCTTCATCCATGTCTTCGTAGTCTCAGTCACTCTTTGTCTCATCACCCTTTTTGTCTTGTCACACAATCCATCCATCTCTTTCCAAGAACATACCCCTACCAGGGTATCCCGCCGTGTTCATAATTACAGTTCTCCTTACCAGTTCCGATTCTTTCTCTCTTCTTTTTTATATCATAAGGGGGCAAACGAGCGAGCAGCCACATGAAATCGCTGAAATATCGAAGCGACGGTTGCTTATAGACATGTACGCAATTGCAGATGCGTGGCCTACCATAAATCGACGGAGCTGGTAATGCATCGTACCATTTTCCCATTCTTAAAATGCTACAGCTAAAGTGGGTACTGTTATACCTATTATAGGAATAATACGTTTGACTAACGTTAACTATTTTGTTGTTTCCAGAAAGTGCTAGGTTTGACGAATCTAGACAATTTTCATTTCATCGGACATTCCCTGGGCGCTCATTTAGCTGGATACTGCGGTCACACTTTACAAAGGGTTAGTATAATTAACTTTTATCATTTATCGTAAGTTTCCAAGACCAAAATTCCCGTTTAAAACATATTGTTATCTTCGTTTTAACAATGATTATGGTTATAGACATTTTGGTCTCGGAAACTAAATGTTAGCAATGTGCCACCCTTAATATCCGTATTTCTTAGTAAATGCATATTATAACTTGCAGCAATTTAACTTGAAGCTGGGTAGGATAACGGGTTTAGATCCCGCGGCGCCTTACTTCAGTAATACGGTGACACTGGTGCGTCTCGACCGGTCAGATGCAAAATACGTCGACATAATACACAGCAACGCTATGCCATTGTATTTCTCAGGTACAGTTAAATAATTTAATTCCCTTCAGCTTTGTATATGATTCTAGGAAATATTCTTTTTCTCTCTTGACTCTCATAAACAGATCCGACGACTACTTACGACTTACTAGCAGTTGCCCGCGATATACCTCGCGGTATTAAAAGGAATCTTGTAAAAAAATATAGCCTATTAACCGAGGATAGTGTGATTTTCCAACAGTGAAATAATTTTTCAAATCGGTTCAGTAGTTTTGAAGCCTATTCAATGCAAAGAATACAATCTGTCTCTTTACAATATCTTGCTTAATAGATCTTCTTATATATGTCTAGGTTTCGGTATATCAGAGGCTATAGGTGACGTGGACTTCTATCCCAACGGCGGGTCAACACAGCCTGGCTGCAAGAGCGAGGGCGCGCAGAGTCCCGCCGGCGCAGACATGTACACGCAGCTCAGCAGGCTCGTCAGCTGCAACCACGAGAGGAGCTATGATCTCTTTACTGAAAGCATTACCTCCTCTTGTCCTTTCATGGCCGTCCAGTGTCAGTCTTATGAGGTATAGCTTTGTTATTACCGTCTATTCTGTATAGATTCTAATACCTCCTTAAAAAGTTAATTGCGTCATAGATTTTTTTTATATCATAAGGTGGCAAACGACCAAGCGGCCACCTGAAATCGCTGAAATAGCGAAGTGACCGTTGCCCATAGACATACGCAACTGCATATGCGTTGCCTACCTTTAATCGACGGAGGAGAGGATGCACAGAAAGAAAATATATTCCCTTTCCATGCATCCTCTCATCCGGAAAGTCCACTTCCACTTCCCATCCTTTCCTTACAAGAAAAAGGGTGGGAAGGGAAAGAGGACTAAATTAGGCCTCCGGAACGCACACTCAATCTGATGAAATGAAGTTTAAAACAACATAACCAAGGTTAACTATAAGTCAGTTTTTTTTACTTGAATATCAATAATTAACAGTTTTATATTAAAATTTTACAGGCGTTCCTAGCTGGTAACTGCACCACATGTGACAGTAAACATTATTGCATCCCAATGGGCTACTATTCATATACCTTCTACAAGAGACTGCAAACACGAGGACTGCTTGACTCAAACTCGCATATCACCCTCTACTCTATGACGGGTGGCTCCAGACCATATTGCAGTAAGTATACTCTATATTTTAATAAAAAAAAATATTTTCACACAAAATAATGTACAAAATAATGTTCCTTCTAAAATAAAATTATACTTGTAATAAAGAGGAATCTCTAACAATGCGGGTAATCTCGAAAAATCCTTTTTTATATTTTTTTACTTAAAAATTTATTTTCACTCCAAATAATATACAAAGAAAAATATTGCTTTGTTACCGTAGTTTTATTAATGGAAAGAAAGCCTTACAATGAAGAGGAATTTCTTATAATGTGGGTAGTCTTATAAATCCACTTTTGTAACGAATTCTTTTTCGAAATGTCTATCTATCACTGGAGTTTGTAATAAATATCTAGCTTCTTGATGTTTTATTTTTTTACTTAATTTTTATATTAAAGTGTATTCGTGTAATAATCAATACATTTTTTTTTATTTATCAGAAGTGCACTACAAGATAACATTGAAGGTTTCAAACTCAACGGAGAGCAGAGTGCATGGACCGGACGTTGGCAGGATAACTGTTGTACTTGTGGACAAGAATAACAGCAAGAGTGATCACAAATTTATTGATGATGAACAGTAAGTTCTTTATATAGTAAATTTTGTAGTCGAGAAAGTGGTTACCTGATTTCACTAAATATTAATGTTTCTAGCCAATACACATGAGGTATTAAGAAAGAAACCATTTGATTGATTCTACACTTTATCTATATCGATTTAAAATTGGTATTGGTTGCATTAGAATGGCCATAAAATACATTTCTACTTTTTTGTAGCCAAATTTTCATCATCTCTTAGATGCTTGTAAAAAAAACTAAAACTATTTTTTTATTTTAGGAAATACTACAAACCTGGTGATATAGAGACTAAGATGGTGCCGTTCAAGGATACAGGTTACCCGCCGATGTCGGTCATTGTCGAATGGAAATACGAAACTAATTTGTTCAACCCTATGACATGGAGGTTATTGCAATCGCCCAGTATTTATATTGAATATATGAAAATATCTTCTATTGAATATAATACTGAGTAAGTAGAATTGACCAATTTGTAAGCTCTATTTGTTTGATTTTTTTTCTTAATTTTAATTATAACAGTGGTAGAGCCCGCTTTAACATCTTCGCACGAATTGGCCCGGCTCGCCCGGTGAAATACCACAACCACACATAAGACAGGCGTCAAGTGGAAGCAATTCCGCGTTTTGTCTGATGAGTGTGCGTTCCGGAGGCCTAACTTAGTCCTCTTTCCCTTACCACCCTTTTTCTTATAAGGAAAGAATCGGAAGAGGGAGTGGACTTTCTGGATGAGAGAATGGATGGAAAGGGAAAATATTATCTTTCTGTGCATCTTCTCCTTCGTCAATTAAAGGTAGGCAACGCATATGCAATTGCGTATGTCTGTGGGCAACGGTCACTTCGCTATATCAGCGATTTCAGGTGGCCGCTCGCTCGTTGTTTCCCACCTTATGATATAAAAAAAAATCCCTATAGGTGGACGTCAGGGTTGTCTCTTTAAAAAAAAACTTTTTTAATTCACTCCTGTGCCCTTGATCTGAAATAGTCATGTTATTATATGAGTAATAATTGATATGAAGATCTATGCAATATCTTTTTTTTTTACTTTCAGCATAACCGTGTGCCCGAAAATGAAGAAGCCTGTCGTCGCGAACTTACAAACTGTAATGAAGACAAAATATTGCGGGTTTTCGAAGTAGCAACAGAAAATTCGTTAGTACATCGCCTCTTTCAATGGGGAGAAATTCTGAAAGCTGTAAGCAGGTGGTGCCAGCACTAAGAATTGGCTGTCATCTGTCAAAGTTTTTAAACGTCTCTATAGCGGTTTAAAAAAAAAACAAATGTATTCCTTTTTGATTGTCTCGTAATTTTACAAATACCGAAACGAATATATCCACAGCCGGAAAAGCCATTTATTCTTGATTGAAATTTAACGGAAGTCGTAGCTATGACTAGATTCCATAGAGTACTTTTATATAAAGTGTTTTTGTGTATCTGTGATATATTTAGTGCTACTAAATGATGCTGACCAAAAGACAGTTTTCTCCCCATTCTCCGACATGATGTTATCGTCGAAATATGCATTAATTGTCGAAAAAAAGTATTCAAATAGTATTTATTTATTCAATTTTAGAGATCAAAATTGTAATTGTAAAAATAATTAATCTGATTTAGTGTTAGTAGTATATTGTAATTAAAATAGCTTTAAGTTAAAAGTTTTGTTATATAGTTTGTTTAGTAGTTGTTTCTATTCGAATAAAGTTATTTTGATGCCTGATTTATTTTATTATTCATATTGACACAGATCACGTTGACATGAGATCGTGGTTAGAACCCAATTTGTAGAACAAGAAAAAAAAACTGCTAAATCTTTAAATTCTTGAAGGTAGTTTATAGCATATTCTATTCCAAAGTTTTAGTTTGAACCATCGTAATAAATCCAGGCCGTCTAAACTGACATAAATGCGATTTATTTTACTGACCTATACCATTTGAAGTAGAACTGAATAATTATGCATGATTATGAAAGTTCATCGGGTTCGGGGGAAGGGACAGGATCTTTTATAAAAAAATAAATTAATTGAATATGTTTGATTATCTATTTCTGAGAAACATAATAACAAGACTCATGTAGAATCTGTGAGAAATGTTTATATAACACACAGATAACACATAACCACTGACCTCTATAAATGACATCTATACACTTAACAACACAGTGAGTCATTGAGTTGCGTTATCTGTGTATTTATTCTAATGTCACGTTTGAGTTTGACAATGTTACGTTACGGCATGGGTGTACCTAGTTTAAATGATCATGTTATTATGTGATTTCATAATTCAATTCACGTAATAACTTCAGTTATATCACAGACCGTTCCATAAAGGAGTAACTTAGTGTGTCAGTGCAATCAAAATGGGTGATAACCGGAAAAAGAAGAAGTTTTACTTTAGAAAGAGGAGAAACAAATACTTTTTGGAGCCCGGCTTCAGAGGTTTTTTCTGCACATGTAACTTCAGAGAGAAAGACTGCGTTAAAGAAATGTATAACTTGCTGAATGAGTACGCCGGAAAGATATACCCCGACCTGGAAGGTGACCAGGTGCCACCGTCTGCTGCCAATGAGGAGAACTCCTTAAGCGAATCTGAAGAAGAAACTGACATAGGGGACTTGTTGAAGCGTGAAGTGGACTCAATGAAGAAAAGTTCTCAGAAGTCTCTCAAGCACAAGCGATTTCAAGTTGTCGAAACAGGGGCTTCTAATTGTATTTTTATTAAGACTAATTTACCTAGTCCAGAAGTGTTAACCACAGCAATTATACAAGATTTGTCAGCAACAAAGGTGCAGAAAACACGTCATGTGCTACGCCTGCTACCCATAATGGCTACATGCAAAGCTAATTTACCCGACATAATGGAGGCAGCTGGAAAACTGTTTGATAAATACTTCTTGAAAGATTCATCAACATTTGCAGTAATCTTCAACAAACGGTTTAACAGCAGTGTGTGCAGGGATTTGATCATCAAAGAGCTGGCAGAATTAATAGTGCTTAAAAATGGCAACAACAAAGCAGATTTGAAGAATCCAAGCCTATGTATCATAGTGGAAATAATAAAAGGCATTTGCCTTTTGAGTGTTGTAGACAATTATTTTTTGTATAAGAAATATAATTTACACGAGTTGGGTAAAGATGAATCAAATAATGATTCAGAGGCGACGCAAGCAAAGAAATTTAAGAGTGACGATGAAAATGTCAAATAAACTTTTTATTAACTTTTTTCTATGTCTGTATACCCTATCTTGTAGATGTATGTTAATGTAAACTATTGCCCCAAAACCAATTATAGCACCAAATTTTCTCTTTAACTTTGTGGTCCACTTTAAAATATACATGTGAGAATAAAATTCATACTGAGTTTTATTCAAATATTCCATTCTGCAATATCTTTAAATCTACCACACCCTAAAATCCTTTATATTAACCAAACAAAGAAACATACAAGTTACATAATGTTGAGTCTTACATAATAGGAGGCTTTCAAAATATCAATATACCTCCCAAGCAACCTCTGGAAGAATAAGTTTCGATGGGTCACGATAGATGGCGCTATCTTATAGTTTCTTTTTATTTATGGTCAAAATTTAAATTTTAAACGCAAAGTACGAAAAACGAAACGTAAAGTTTTCGCGTGAGTGTGTTCGTATGTGTATGTGATTTCAATTTAAATTATAAAGTGCCAGTAGTCCGTCAAAATATAAACTTAGTTAACGCAACTAATTTGCGGATACCTTTCGTAACTAATTTTTTCGAGTTATAGTGTCTTTATAATTTATACCTTTGGAAACAAAAGAACAATAATTAATATTGCACTGTGATCTTATGTGCTTTTGAATGAACAATTAATATACCCATCAGATACAGTAAAGTTACAAGAACGGTAAGCCTCCAATTTGAGTGACTGGTGAGGGGCGAAAGGGGTCGTGGGCTGCATGCGGGCTTGGGGGTGGCTTTGTTGATTAGCTGCCTTTGTTTTAATACCCTAGACAGTTCCACTGAAAGCCCCCCTAACGTAAATTGTTATACCTTGTAATTCGACAAACAGTTTCCTTACATACAGAAACACATTGGATAAATACTATGATAGGTATGTATGTAATTTATAATAATTCCTTTATTGTTTTCGAAGATTTGAAAGATACAATCGAAAATTTATTTTATCTCTAAATAAGCAAAACAAATTGTAGCTTCGCAATTATTTGAAAAGAAGTATATCATCTGAGCACAGTATAAATAGTTATGAAAATCTTTAAACGTTAAAAATAATTGTACTTCTAGGTTATATTAAGTGCAAAGGAAAAATACAGCTCGAGGAAATTACTTCGCGCATAAATAACTACAACAGGAAACAAATAGGACACATAGTAAAGTTTCACTTAGCGTAAGCTCCCGCGCGTTAAAATAAAACTCGTTGGAATATGTTAAATGTGGCACAAACTTTTATATATCTCTTTACTGAAACACAAACTGTTAGAGAAGTATTTGAAAAGTATAGCTAAATGTTAAAATTTAATTACTTTTATTTGCTTTTAACTGATTGGTGTATTAAAGTAGCGTTAAGGAAATATTTCACTATTCCAACTCGTTTATTATTAGGAATATTATGCCTGATTGCCCATCATTTTTGTAATTATATGTGACAAAATAGAGATAATATGTTTTAAACGGGCATTTTTCTCAGAAACCCACGCTTAGTATGTATGCCATCACGGACGTTTTCGAAAAGTTATTACGTTTGTGTACGTGGTCGGATAGTTTTCATATGGCGCCATTTTAAATGACAGGAGACACCTGCTATTGGTTCAGGGCTGTCAATTATTACGAATGTTATCTGATTTTTAATACAGTGGTTTCATTCAGCAGTAATCATAATTTTTATATTATTGCTTGCTATTTGAGTTTAAACCAACAATTGAAAAAATTAAAAAAATGTCAGCTATTTTTGTATGATTTCGAATTTTATATTTTTTGACAATATTAATATTACATCTATATTAATAAATATTATGTACGAAGTTGTACTGATTGCGATGTATACTGACATTGCTAATATTTTGTCATTAAAATTATTGAAAAAGTCCAATTCATTTTACACTAATATCTTTAAGTAACAACTGACTGGTGCAATGCGGTAAACGGAAAGCTTGACAACGTGTTAAAAACTTTAAACTTTTAATTTATGTTCAACGTAGTTGTACTAAACTACTTTAAAATAAAAAATAAAAAACTCGTTAGGGTGGTAGGGTTGGTAGACAAATTATCCACTTTTTGCCAATGTTTTATTTACATATTGATAATACGGTGAACTTTTAAAAATGTTTTTTCTTAATTTAAATTAAACTTGTAAGACAATATTAAGCAATCCGCTGCACTTTTGCCGCCTTATCCTATTAAAAAATATGCCTGTCGTTATCATTTTACAATCCCAAAGAAACAAGTATTTACTATTTATTCTTATCATAATTACTTATTACAAGTATCGTTAGTTTGCCAGCCCTGTAAGGCAACACTTCAAATTTGTTATCGCAAACGAAGCGGCTTCCATGACATATGACGTTGACATAATCCGTGCGGAAACCACCTTGTGTGTTCTGGCAAATATTTAACTCATTGTGCATTTAATAAAATAAATTATAAATTGTTAATTTGTCCAGATTAGAAGATCCACGTTTATACTATGTTGTAATAATCATCAAACAATATACTGAAAGTGTTTTAGTGTTGTTTTATTCGATAGAAAAGCTATAAATTTGAAGTTTTAAAAAGACCAGTGGAGTTTTTAGCCAGCATTTCTCAGGAGAATTTTGTGCATTAGAGCAGTGAAGTAGTTTCGGCTATTTGCATTTCAAAAGCAATTTAAAACAGCCATTCCGAGTCAATTTTTTTATAGATTTAAATTTTGTAAAAAATGTGTTTGTTAAGGATGTGTGCTTATAAACATAGTATATACAAATTACCAACTCTCAATTTAGTATCTGGTACTATCTTCAGGATCTACAATGTAAGTCAGTTTTGATTTTAAAAGAAAATTAACAGATACTGCTTTTCAAGTATAAATATATTATAAATAATTAAATAAAAAAACGTATATTATCACTGTGAATTAAGACACAACACTGTTAATTTCCATTAAAAATGTGCAAATAACACGTATTTTACTGACAGTACTGAATGTCGTATCATTAAAAAAGATTTCAACAACTATTCCGGTATAAATAGAAACAGCACGAACGTGAATGTTGATGAAAAATGTGAAAATGCAAATTGCGGCGGTGGATTTGCATGCGTTAGTCAATTGACCGTGTACCCT